ACTGGCCCCATCCCCGCCTCTTCGACCTGTTTGTTTCCTCTCCACCTATCCTCTCCTCTATCCATCTTCTATCCGCCTCGCACTCTCTCCCTATTTATTTCAGAACCCCCTTCCCCTCCCCCTTTTCTGATGAAGGGTCTAGGCCCGAAACGTCAGCCACTCTTGTCCCTTCCATGCTCATTTCTCCAGTATCGACTACACATGTAATCAATATAACGCCATATAATAGCAATGGCAAGTTTGGAACTGCAAAGAGAGAACAATGTATTCTTTTGAAAAGTAAACTGCTGTTCTTATAAGCCGATAAAATGTTTTACACAGAGTGGCAGCAATGACCTTGTTGAACTTGTTGCCCAATAAGGGTGGGGAAGCACGGAAGGTGAATGATTTCAATAAGAAATTGGAAGGAAATTATCTTCCAGGTCTACAGAGACAGCGGGGAAGCAGAACTAACAGGAATGCACCTCTGAGAATCAGCCCAGACTTGATAGGCCAAATGGTCTCCTGCACTATAAATTACTGCAGCATTCTAAATAATGCAACGGTTGTCACACAGAGACAGAGACCTCCCAGATTGACAACATATGGCTGGTCCAATATGTGGGCAACTGTCCATTGTGCTCGTCAAGAAAAATTGATAAACCCTGCTCAGAGGTGTTCCTTGCTGCCCTCACATCCTGCCCTCTCCCTGCTCCTATATTGGTCTCTCCAAGTGCAACACCGCTTGTCATTTGTCCTATCTAAACTCCTGCAATCTCAGGGCTCCTGCCAGGATAGGTAAGTTCTACACTGAGAAGCAGGTACACCCATCTCACTAAGAAAATCCCCACTTTCTTAAAAGCATTTTGTAAACACCCTTTCCACACAGTGCTTTTGTATTATGAGTACTACATGGTGCAGTAACTTAAGTAGGGGATCAGTGATTACTGATCCATTCCAATCGGGTCTATTAACTAATACGTTTGAGAAGCTCTGAATTAATGAGTGCCTACCATTACCGAAGTCACATATCATGATGACTTGCGTTTTAATACTATCTTTTATGTAATAAGATATCACAGCTAGTAAATTAATGTGACATTTAAACTGAGTGACATTAGCCAGTTTTTGACAGTAATTCTCTTGCATCACATCAATGAAGATACTGAATTTAAACTTAAAACCTTCTTTCTCATCCCGGTTGACTCTGTGTGGGCTTTAGTAAATGATTATCAGATTACCTTCAGTGATTTGGAAATATTAGCCCTCTTCAAGCCGTCAAGGTTAAATTCAAATGGATTGCGCTTTGTTGCAGGAAAGAATGAACAGAGATTAACGTTGCACATGCAATGCAGAAACACCTTTCTGTTATGGTAAAGAGATCAGCACAACATTCCACCCAGAACCCTTTGAACTGAAATGAAATGCAAGATATTTTCTCTAAGAATGCAGCATAAAAAGATACCCAGAAATCATTTCAGTTAGTTAGTGCCAAGAAAAAGTGACCCAAAATGAGGTCGACAAATTAAGCGTTGAAGTTATAAAAGATGCATCCTTTTCAAATAGGTTTATTAATATTCTTAAAACTGCCCAAAGTGAGCATTTACAGGATTTTTTTCAAATTGGAAGTGCACGTAATTACCAAATTTATGGAAAACTAAGTGCATTCATTTACAAATAGGTGATAAGCACAAGTTACACATCCAAAAACGTAAAATCAAAGTAAGGGGTTGGATTAGGAGCAATGAAGGACTTGGATTGCTGTTTATTAATGGTCTTAAAAGAAAATGGGAAACAATTAGATACTGCAATGAGTGGGATTGATTTAACTGGTTGAATTATTTTGAACTGAAGAGTTGATCTCATCCAAAAAGGAACAAGAACAAGTGGACGTAGCTTTAAAGTGATGTGAAAAAGAAGCAAAGGTGATGTGAGAGCAAAAGCTTTTCACACAGCAAGTAGGTATGGAATGCACTGCCTGGAAATGTACTGGAGACAGGTTCAATTGAGGCATTCAAGTGGGCATTGGCTGATTATTTGGATTGAAAATGTGTGTAAAGGTACGGGGAAAAGGTAATGATGCTCGTTATAAGAGCTGGCACAAGCTCATTGGATTCAAAGGCCTCCTTCTACACAGTAATAATTCAGTTTTTGTGACATGCAATTGGGCGGCCCTTACAATTTAATGAAAACTGAAGACAACCTGTCCCTGCGGAAAACCTGACAAAATCTTGGAATTCACTTCCGAACAGCACTGTGGGTCCACCTACAGCACGTGGACTGCAGCAGTCCAAAGGTGGCAGCTTACCACCACCTTCTCAACAGACAGGCAGGGAAGCCCACATCCCTTGGAGTGAATAAAAATAGTACAGGACTAGTTTGGCCTGTCTCAGACAAAAACTAAGATAAATAACCTTGCTCACACATGGAGGTAAGTCACTTTGGCAAAGCACAGAGACAAGTCAGCCAGCAAGCATTATACTGGACTCCAGCAGACGATACTGTCTGCAGAAAACAAATTATTGAGTAATACAAAAATATTTACATGATCCTTAATTTTCTTTTACTGAACTGAAATCAAGTCTAGTGCACTGACATGCATTAAATAAAACAGACCTTTCATTTTCCAGTAAAAGCTGAGAAATAAGCGCTGCTTAAACAAGGAAAAAAATCAATTTCATTTTATTTGGTGTTGCAGTCAGGTAACTTCCTCTTTCAATCGAGAAATTATATCTTATGTTTTTCCTACTTTGTGTTTTGTAAACAAATCTATTTTCATCTTGGAAAGTGTGTATTTAACTTTTGCAACAAACTAGGGGCTTCTCCTCCTCGCTTAAAAAAGGGAAGCAAGCTCTATGTCTTTCCTCCTTCTCATCTTCTACATACTAACTAATACACAACTTTTGAAAATATCTTCCCAGAAGATTAAATCTGACCTGTACACGGTATCAATTTTAAACATTTACTTTCTTGGAATTGCACATCAATTTTCTAGATCAGAGCATGCTCTGAAACAGGCTGCAAACAAAATATATAAGCTTCCAGTATTAGTGTCAATCCACAACACACAAAATAAAAAGCAAACAGAATAGAGCACTCACAAAAAAGTCTCTAAAGATTGAGCTAGTATTTTCACAAAAGACTAGTCCTGCTGCTCTCCTCTCTCGTAAGTATCCAGACCCAAAGTTTCCTTCGTAGACATTCTTAGGAAGATGGAAGTGAAAGAGAAAGCAAAGAGTGATGGGATAGGACAGGTACGTGCTGCAGGGAAAGGCAGAATGGAACGGAGGAACAGCCAGTTTATTGTAAATTACAGCCGAAGGTTGAGATAACTAGCAGCCAATGCATTTAATACTATTGCATATATATCATAAATGCACAAATTGCATTTTAATAATCTTCTGCATGCACAATTAAAAGAAACATGGTTTTTCAGTCAGTCAATGTAAAAATTTACATCAAATTCAACAATTTCCAAACCTAGAAATATTGCACATGTTCACATCAAGAATCTACACTTGATAGAAGATCTCTGCACAAAATGTTCAAATTGAAGCAGATTTATCTGCACTCATTGTAAGCAAAGGGACTTAGAACACAAATCCGGTTGCAAAGAGTCATTTTGACAATATTTTGTCAGCATACATTGAATAAAATTCAGCAGAGCACGTTCAAGAATAAACAAAGTAATTGACATTTAGCACTTATGCCCAGATATATTAACTTGTGAAAAACACAAGAATAGTCCATTCAGAAACTTGAAAGAAGGAGCCCAATTTACCACAAATATTAAAAACAGTAAGGTAGATAAGCTATGTCATGACAAGCTAAAAGATGCTGGTATTTGTGACACAAAACATGTTCAACAAGAATATTACTGGGCAGTTATAAGGCTATGACAGGAGGAAGTCTTAAGAATTACATGCCACAGTTTAAAACAAAATGAGAAAGATGACAGCAGAATGGATCATGGCACAGCAATATTAGTACATCACTGCAAAAAAAAAATTCCACTTACTGGGAGATTCCTGGCAGAGTCGAGATAGATGATGAGTAAAGCAGAGGAAAGCCCATCATTGGCTGTTCCTTTAATAGCTTTGGTGCTGGCCATTGCCTGGAGAACAAATAAGTGGAGTTTTACATTATGTCAATTTGCTTGCAGTAAATCAGCTTCAAATCTCAGATTTCCATTTTCTATATTTCATAGCACAATAAAATCATAGTCACGACAAGGATCTTCAATTCACTGACATTCCTCTCTAAGTAACACAGATTATAGTGAATGCATATTAGCAAATTCACCACGTTTACAAGGAGGAAGAATAGTTATTGATCTAGGTCTTTCTGGTCAGGGCGAAGTAATGACAAGTGGCATCAACCTGAAGGAAAGATGCTAACAAAGATCAAACCAGTTCAGTGATGTGGTTTTAATCCTTCCTGGCACCAGCAAAGAGGCTCTCTGGTGTTCCACAATAACGGAATTATTAACAGTCCAGAAGAGGGCCATTCAGCCCTTTGTGTCTGCATCTGCTCTCCAGATGATCAGTTCATCCACTGCTATTCCTCTAACTTCTCCCCATAACCTAGAATATTCTTATTTTTCAGATAATAATCCAATTCCCCCTTGAATAGCTCAATTGGCTCTGCCTTCACCACTTTCTAGGCAGTGCATTCCAGATCTTAACTACTCTGCTTGAAAAACCTTTCCATGTCTCCGTTTTGCTTTATCAGTTATCTTAAAACCGTGCCCTCATTCTCAATCCTTCCACCAATAGGAACGGTTTACCCTATCCTCTCCGTTCAGAGCATTCATGATTGTGAATAGCTCTATTCGATCTCCTCTCAGTTTTCTATTCTCCAAGAGAAACAGTTCCAGTCTATGGAACTACTTTCAGAGTTTTGCATCCATAGATCCATTCTTGTGATTCTTTTCTCCCCCGCTCTCCCCCTGCTTTCATATTTTTCCTAAAGTGTTGTGCCCAGAACTGGATGCAATACCCCAGCTGACACTGAACCAGTATCTGACACAAGTATAACATATACTCCTTGCTCATTTACTCTGTGCCACTATAACTAATATAGCTCAAAACGCTGTATGCGTTATTAACCACTCTCTCCCTTGTAATGACATCTGCTTGTATACAACCGAGTCCCACTGCTTATGCACTTTTAGAGTTGTACTCTTTAGTTTATATTGTCTTAGGTGTTCTTCCGATCAAATCAAATAACTTCATAATTTTCTGCATTGCATTTGATCTGCGACTTGTCTACTCACTCCATCAATTTGTCTATGAACTTTCTATAACATTCTCTTCAAGTTCATAGTATTCTTTTCTTTTGAATCATTTGCAAATTTTGAAAGTGTTCCTGGTACACAAGGTCTAGCTAATTAAGATGTGTTAGGAAATGCAGCAGTCCTAACACCAACCACTAGGGAAGTCCACTACAAATGTCCCTCCAGTACAAAGAAGATCGATTAAGCATTTCTTCTTTATTTCCTGTCAATCAGCCAACTTAGTTTCCCTGTGTTAACTTTTTGGATCCGGTGACCCTTCCTCAGAAAGGTCTTCCGAGGAAGGGTCACCGGAACCGAAACGTTAACTCTGTTTTTCTTTCCTTCACAGATGCTGCCAGACCTGCTGAGCTTTTCCAGCAACTTTGTTTTTGTTCCTGATTTACAGCATCCGCAGCTCTTTCGGTTTTAATTTAGTTTCCCTGATGTTATTGTCACTTTCATTCTATGAGCAATGATTTTGCTCACAAATCTGTACCGTGGCACTGTATCAAATGCCAAGTGTCCTGCAGCAGGATTGTCATTGATCAAGCTGTGTAGCAAATCACAACTAAGACAATTTGCAGCAGTAATTATGACTAAACACACTATTAAAGACCCAAGGACACCTCATGTACAGTATAAATTTTTCAGAGACTAACAGAAGCAGGGTAATAGCAGGGTAAAAGGAGGAAGCTCATTAATTAAGTAATTTTTGATTGTTTGCCATACTTAAGGATGCGTGCTCTATTGCACTACCATATGAAATTGACATATCAACACATTTACAGTAAGATATGGAAATCTGAAAGTTGCTGTCAGTAATATATACCCTGCTCCCTCTCAAGGTGTTGCAGTCTTCGCAGCTGTGATTAGCAGAGAATCACTGATTTGATGCAAGTCCAACATTTTACACACTATCTTTATGGTAAAATAAAATCAATGAAATGATAAACCTTATTTAATCAGGCCTAATTAAGCAAAATGACTGAGGAACTAATTTTACAAGTTGGTACCTTATTTTCTCAGGTGAATATATTAAAAGCTACATGATTTACAAAGCAATAAAAATAATTTCAGTTGTTTAAAAAAATTACAGCACTGAGTTTAAAGCTAAGCACAAAGAATGGCATAGGCAAAGGTCAATTCAAACATTGAGCTGAATGTACCATTGGTCACCATAAAAGTTGGGAGAGGAACAGTGGATGGTGAACACCTTGGAGACTGGGAAAGGCTTGAGATGGGCACAAGATAGACAGATTTTTGAACAGAAAAGAAATTAAAGGTTATGACGAGCGGATGGGTAAGTGGATCTGAGTCACAAAAAGATCAGCCATGATCTTATTGAATGGTGGAGTAGGATCGACCAGATGGCCTACTCCTGCTCCTGTTTCCTATGCTTTTATATATGATGTTCCAAACAGCAGACACACCCCTATTCCACCTACAATAGCCAAGCAACAAGCTGGACTCTTGGTCTTTTCCATTTCTGAGAAAATCCCTGTGGCAGCAGCTTTCTAAAGCTACCTCAACTCGTATTATATTTATCCCACTGATATTCACACTGATCAATGTAACAATAGAATTCAAAAGGCATTAATAACGGTCTTCAAAAGTTACTTTCAAAGATATATAATTGTCCATTGACTAAGTTGGCGCAAGTGTGTTCAGTGGTGAACCACCAACAGGAAATCCTGCTACATCAAACTCAAATAAACTGAAGAGCTGACAGGTGAGTTTCTTGATGAATTACAGGCTTTGACATTGAAGTCCCACCTTGCTAGAAGCTTCTGGACAATGTGAAGCCAGCATATTCTGGAGATCGTCACTGGAGCTTGGTCTTCAGAAGATCCAAATGGTGAGGAGCCGAGTCTTTTTCTTTCAAGTCCCATGGATCATGGGGGTTTTGCGGGTTGGGAGGGTTTCACAGATAATGACAGGAGATGGCTTTTAGTGACCACCTCTTGCCACACTACCCCTGTCTTTTCCCCTAGATTTGGGCAAATGGAGCTCACTCACCTCTCCAACCCTTCAGGCAGGATGCCTGGGCTCCCAATTGAGAAACCAGTCACTTTTCCCACATGTAGATAAGGTAGGTAATTGGGCTTATGGTGAGCTAAGGCCCTTATGTGGCCAGTAATTGACCACTTAAGGGCCCTAATTGCTGGCGAGTCAAAGTGGTTATCCAATGAACTACTCAGCAAGCACTTAATTGCTGAGGTGTCAAGAAGGGGTTGGGTATCTCTCAAAGGCCAATTCACCCAATTATCTGCCCTTCTCGCACCTTCAGGGAGAGCAAAATTCTGACCCTAATGAGTGTCTTAAAAATGAAAAGTGCAATATAATGATGTCAAAACTGATAAGTCCAGTGTCTGTATTGAAGAAGTGTCTTTTGTACATACAAATGTCTCACGTAAAATCTAGCTCGAAAGGCCCATTTAAACATCATTGGAACATGTAAATAACTGCAACTGTTTAAGTTCATCATTTTAGCCCAATATAGGCATTTCAAATTCAGTGACAGCAGGGAGAAGAAAAAAGCCCTGCAAAACATCAATATAAACTGCCAGTTGTGTCACTATCTGAACTAAAATAATAGAATTTAACTTGGTATACAAAGTGTTTAAGTACCTCTGGCAGCTTCTCGGCCGCTGACAGCAGAGAGAGCCACTCGAACTTCAAGTGCAGCTTTCCAACGCTCACCTCATCCAAATCGAACCACTGTAAATGCATAAAATAATCAAACACCAAAAAAAGAGTGGCCCCAAGGGTCACCAAAACCATCAGTACTGGCAAAATGCAAAGATTTCCCAATTTCCCTTCACATAATTCATGTTATTTTAACAACCATTTTGCTTTAACAATAAATTAGAAAATATCAACCTATTTCTACTTAAAATACGTCCAACGCATATGATCCAACACAACCATAATACCTGATCAACAAGCTGTTGCTTCTGAACTTCAGCAAGGTCAATCATAAGGCTACAATAAGAAAATATAGATGTTATAATGAGTATCCGAAAACAGACTTCTTAAAAAATAATGTTTTAAATGTTTTAATTAATTAAAATTTCCATCCTCATTTGGAAAGGGATGTCCACTGACTTATAATGGCATTTTTTTCACCAATTTAGAAGAACGAGGGGTATCTCATAGAAACATATAAATCCTGATGGGACTGGACAGGCTAGATATGGGAAGAATGTTCCTGATGCTGGGGAAGTCCAAACTAGGGGTCACAATCTAAGAATAAGGGATAAGCCATTCAGGACTGAGATGAGGAAGAATTTCTTCACTCAGAGTTGCGAACCTGTGGAATTGTCCACTGCAGAAAGCTGTTGGGGCCAGTTCATCAGATATATTCAAGAGACAGCTAGACGTGGCCCTTGCAGCTAAAGGGATCAAGGGGCATGGAGAGAAAGTAGGAATGGGATACTGAGATTGCATGATCAGCCGTGATCGTATTGAATGGTGGTGCAGGCTCAAAGGGCCAAATGGCCTCCTCCTGCACCTATTTTCTATGTTTCTATGTTTCAACACACCCAAATTTAAAAAAATTCTTATCCTTGCTATGATATTCAACTCAGCCTGAAGGAAGCCAGATATGATTAAAGTTTCCACTTACAAGTATCATTGAATTTCCCTATCCTTGACTTTCCCTCTCAGTAATCACCTCTAGCAATAGTGCCTTCTAAGATCTCAAGCGCCTTTAAATTTTGCCACGTGCCTTCCTTGCTGCAATTAATAGCCTCATCTTCAGGTATCTAGGCCTGAAGTTTTCTAATTGCTTATCTAAACCTCTTTGCCCAAGGCCCCTTCTGTCTATTCAGATAGATAGAAAGATTTTGTCAGTAGTGGCAGGAAGTTCTCTTGATTTCTTAAACAATTTTTAACTCCCAAAACTACAATAAGTCCTATTCTAGGTTGTTTCATTTCAACTTAATTCAGTCAAAGGAGTATGTATTCTTGTTTAGAGTTACAGAATTATATTTAAATTTGTGTTGCACTGGCATGACATTGGGCCAGTTACCCAATTGGCATCTGTACTGCTCTTTAGTCCACGCTCATGCTGCAGACTCTCCAACTTGCAGCCTCTGCTGCTCCTCGACTCACCCCGTCCCCAAGCCTTCTTCACAGTGAACCTCCTGCTCCTTGACCCAGTCCCTGAACCCCACCCCCATCCACCCCAAAAGTGAGGGAGTTGCAGTGACACTGGGACGTTTGGGATGCAACTGCCGTGACAGTATCAATTATAGAAGATCCATTGCAATACTTCTACACCATTGAGACACATACACTCAACTCCAAGAGCTCCAGATACGGAACCTATATTCTGGATCAAGGAAGATCGAGATGTGATCTAAAAGTGGATCTCTGTGGTTGTGAAAGCGCAGGTGGAGAAGTGCCAAACTGTGGCTGTTGTATCCATGACTTCTCTGCAGTTGCATCCCCAGGGTCCTCACACCCCACCAACTGCCTCACTCAGTGAAAGTTCAGGAGAGGGGAAACAGCAAGCAGTAGAGTTGCAAGCAGGAGGTTTGGTGAAAGGGTGAATCAGGGAGTGTCACAGGCTGCAAGTTGGAGGATTAAAAGTGTGCGTTGGGGATAGGAGAAGCTGTAATGTGGGTCATCAGGAAGAAGAGTCTGCAGTGACCAGGATGTCAGTGAGAACAGAAACATAGACTTCCTACAGTGTTGAAACAAGCCATTTGGCCCACTGACTACACACCAACCCTCTGAACGGCATCCCACCAGACCCAGCCCCCAACCCCGTCTCCATAACCTGCATTTTCCATGACTAATCCACCTAGCCTGCACATCCCTGGACACTATGGACAATTTAGCATGGCCTATCCGCCTAATCTGCGCAAACTTGGAATGTGGGAGGAAACCGGAGCACTTGGAGGAAACCCACGTAGACACTGGGAGAATGTGCAAACTCCAGACAGACAGTCGCCCAAGGATGGAATCAAACCTGGGTCCCTGGCGCTGTGAGGCAGCAGTGCCAACCACTGAGCAACCGTGCCACCCAAGTAGGAGGTGAGTATAAAGTTACCACTTCTTTTACTTTACATTTTAAAATTAATTTATTTTAGAATAGGATTGTCATTTGCCAATATAGGAATGTAGCAAGGTGAAATATTTCAGCTTACAGGAGATAAGGTGATTTATTTTCTTAAAGGAAGGTCCTACAGTACCCAACTGCAACTTTTGCCACTGACAAAAGACATTTTATTGAAACTTTTAATTCTTGCGCTCATCAGAACAATTCATTAGATAATTCAATGCTAACATAAATTTATGGTGTATGTGAGGAGACTGCTGATTGGTCTATAAGTGGCTTCTGATTAGTAGAGATGTTATCTTGGAGATTGCAAATCGTCTATAAATGTAATTTCTTTTATCAGTCTCTGCATTTTATAGCTACACACTGACAAGAGGGAAAAACAACTGAACCAATCACTAGGAGTTGGAAATAAAAATTTATCAGGCATTAGAAGGCACAATTTAAAATATTTGACTCATCTTATGGAAAATACACAATCTGTTCACAATATTCAGATTCATATCTGTTACATATTAAAATTCACAAATAGCGCACAACATTCCATTTCAGTATACACTGCAAAGTCCTGTCGGGCTTTATCAACGGGAAAACCCACAAGTCTTTACTTTTACCAGCAGCACCAATTCCATCAGCAGTCGTGCCGTGATATAATTTTTCAACAGTGGGAGCTTTGTAAAGGGAGCTGCTAAAACAACAGCCCTTGCATGCTATTTTGAGAGATAACATTAAAAAAGTTCATTGTGCATTATGTTGCAGGTTTTGCCCACAAAGTGTCACTGCTGAGCAGTCTAAGTTCAAGAGTCTCCTCTGTTTGCAAGCAAAGTCTGCTGACTCCCGACATTCCTTGCATATGCATAAATCTGGCACTACACATATGCGGAATTGCAGGACCATGCATATGAAGGGAAGGGATCCACAAGTCTACAGTAATGCAGACTATCTGAATTTTAACTATTCTTTGTGTGAAAAAGTTTCTCCTCATGTTCTGAGATAACAAGGTGTAGGGCTGGATGAACACAGCAGGCCAAGCAGCATCAGAAGAGCAGGAAAGCTGACGTTTTGGGCCTAGACCCTTCTTCAGAAATGCA